AAGTATAACTCAAGATCATGGATAATAGCTCAGAAAAATCGGACCTTATGACCATAGACTAAAGTGTTTCAACACCAACTTTAATGCACACATAATCACATAACTCTAGTTTCAAATAATTTCAATTCTTTTTGTTTTCGAAATAATAATAATAATGTACTTGAGTCATGATATAGGACAGTCGAGCCCGCGTCTCCCAGGAAAGTTACCTACAGTGTCGAGGAGAGCCTTTCCTAGACAGAGAGGCGTGCCCATTATAGGCCTCCATAGAGAACCCGAGCATCCCTTTCTCAATCATCTTTCCACAAATAGTAAAATAGTTTTATATAAAATTAAAGCTTTTGACTTTCACACACATATGAGAAAATCTATCTATCCTATATGCCCTCTTAAGTCTACCCACAATTTTTATTATTCCTAATTTTAATCTTTTTAGGACCTTGAAAATTAATACCACTTTGTAACACCCCAAAATCTCCCTTTACAAAATTACTAATATAATACGTATAATTATACCGTAGAGATAGAATTAGGCATATTACCGCCACGTGATTACGCAAGGCTACTCAAACTACTAACCAAAACCAATACTTTGCAGCGGAAATTCAAACTCTTCCTTTATTAATAATAACTATAAATAGAAACCATTGTAATGAGTACTCATAATTAAACAAAGACCAACAACCTAATTCTAGGTGAAAAACATTTCCGGGACTCCCATATGCTCAATTATTGACTCCGCTGAAATTAGTCAACACTGCTTACCATGACGGTAAACAAGTCGAACCAAAACAAATAGGAAATACGGATTAGCAAAATATGCTAAGTACGATAAGTGCAAGATAAGTAAATTCAATTTATTTGCAAACATGCTTTTAAAACTAATTCCAATAATTCAATAATTCGATAAAATGATTCATAAAACCAATTCCTCTTTTGAAAACCAATTCCTCTTTTTGAAAACCAATTCTCAAAACAATTCCAACAACTCAATAATAATGATTAGTAAAATCAATTATTTTTGAAAACTCAATCTCCTCTCTAAGTGTGCACACCCCCAAGCTAGTCTCCTACTATTTCAAGGCTATTCTTGAGGAAAGACTAGGTCATACAAAGTCCATAGTATTCAATGAATTCACATAGTGGGATTAATATAATAATTATGCTTGTAAAGCTTTTTAATAAAATCCTCTTTAAATTTCTCTTAGAATAATTCAAACTTTTCAAAAACTTCTTTTGTATTTATTTCAACAAGCTTGTAAATTCAAACCTTTTTTTTTCCAAAAACTCTTTTAAAACAATCGAACATACTTTAAAAAAAACCAAACAACTTTAAACATAATGATTTCAAACCATTCAAAACATGATATAAAATCAGTCCTCCAATTCATTTATCAAAACCAATTTTTTTAAAACATGCTTTATTTCATAAATATAATTCAATTCAATCTAATTCAATCATCATAAAAATTATGTAAAACATGCTTATTCAATCCAATCAATTTCAAAGGTATCTAGCCACCTAAACGTACCTTTGATCCTTGCTGGCAACACAAAAAGAAACTTCAAGAACTTTGATTGAACACACCCTACAAATAAATATAACCTTAATTAATATAAGGTTAACAAATAATCACAACAATTAAATTAAAAACCCCCAACTATATGTACGTGAACCTCATAATTTATTTTTAATAAACATGAAAAAAATCTAATTTTATTTAATTAAAACTACTCATAATAATTTTTATGAATCCCCCATAATAATTAATTAAATAAGAGAAATGAAAAAGAAGAGGTAGAAAACCAAGGAAAAAGAGGAAGAAAGGTGGCGGTTGCTGGTGGCTGTGGTCGGCGGTGGTGGCCGACGTCGGCGGCAGGTGGCAGCTGGCAGTGGGAGGTGGTGTTTTGTGGTGGTTGGCGCAAGAAAAGAAGAAGAAAAGGAGAAGAGAATTAGAGAGAATTAAGAGAGAATTAAAGAATTTGGTGTGAGTGTTTAGCCATGAATCAATGGGTAGTTATAGGCTAGCTCATGCATGAATTATGGTAGGAGAATGTAGGGAGAATTATGGTAAAAAGAATTAAGGAATTACTTGGGGAAGAGAATTAAAGATTTATGGAAAGTTTTAATATTAAGGTGGCTAAGAATAATTAATTTAGGGATATTCTCAACGGCGACCCCCAACAATTGCTACGCACCAACGGTAACCTCCCGTTTTTTCAACTATACAAAATGACCTTAATTAAAATTTTCATCTTACTCATAACCTTATTTCATTAAATATATTAACTATGGTTAGATTTATATTTTAAAAAAAAAAGAAAAACTAAAAAAATTAACCTAACCACCAACCTTCCTCCTTCCTTTCTCTTTCCTCCATCCTTGCTCCTCCTCCATAATTTCCAGCAGCCCCTCCACCACCATAATCCGGCAACCCCTCCTCTCCTTCCTTTCTCTTTCCTTCATCCTTCCTCCTTCCTCCCTTTCCTTTCCTTTCCTTTTTCTCTTCTTCTTCCCTTCACCCTCCATTAATTCTGACCGAAACACTCCCTCCTAAAAACCTCTCCCCTTCCCCGCCTGCCGAAACGTAGTCCCACCGTTCCCCTGACCCCGAAAACCGCCGATCAATGAATACAACCTAGGTAAGATTAATTTGATTAGAATCATTTTGATTAATAATGAAATAAAGTAATTCGAATAAATTAAGTGTAATTTGATTCAAAATATTGCAATACGATTCAATAATTTGCATTAAAAAAATCGATTGAATTATATCACCATGGTAGCAGGGGAAGGTCGTAGGGGATTGAATTATATCACCATGGTCGCAGGGGATGGTAGCAGGGGATGGTCGCAGGGGATTGAATTATATCACCATGGTCGCAGGGGATGGTCGCAGGGGATTGAATTAAGTGTAATTGATTGAATTATAATTACCATGGTAGCAGGGGATGGTCGCGGCGGGGTTAAAGAGGAAAGGGAGGGGGCTGGGTTGGACGGAGTAGGGGAGGGGGCTGGCCGGAACGGTGGAAAGGGAGGTGGGCTGGGTTGGACGGAGTAGGGGAAGGGGCTGGCCGGAAAGGTGGAAAGGGAAGGGGGCTGGGTTGGCCGGAATCAATGGGGGATTGGGGGTTGGGATTAATATTTTTAATTTTTTAAAGGGGGCATATTTGTCATTTCGCTATTTTGGTTAACCATGGTTTAATTATATGTTAAAACACCATCATTAATGTCATCATTAGGAGAAAAAAGATAACTAAGGTTATTTTGTATAGTCCAAAAAAAGGGGGTTACCGTTGGTGCGTAGTTATTGTTGGGGGTCGCCGTTGAGAATATCCCATTAATTTAAGGAAAGTATGTTGTCATGAAAAATAATATGGAAAAGGGGTTCATTTGGGGAATAATCAAGGATGAAATAAGGTAGGGAAATAAGATGTTCAAATATTTAGGAGGTGGGAAATAAAAATTAAGGAAAATAATAGATTTAAGGAAGATAATTAAAAATACAAATTACCAAAATAATTCATCTAAAATCCAACCATGGTAGCCGAAATTTTTGAGCTTCCATAGCTCAATTTTTTGGACCACATTAGTATAATTTAGAAATTTATTTTGCTAGATTTAAGGGATTGAAAATAATTGTGTAAATAATATATTTTGTATAAAATAATTAATTAAAAAGGATACCAATTATTCACTAAATAAATTAACCAAGAAAATTAGATTTTCCACACTAGGAATATCCGAAGTCCTCAGCTAATAATTAGGAATTTTTGGACCTATTAATTAAATAATAAAATATAATTTTTGCTTTAATTAAAATATCCGAAATATATATAAATAATTCGGTTTTAAAAATAAAATAAATCCAAAAAAAATAATTAGGTTTTAAAATACTTTTGACGCCAAAATTCAAATATCATTTTGGCTCCAAAAATTCAAATAGTAAAATAAATTACTAAAATACCCTTTTTAAAAAATAATAATTAATTAATTAATTAGAAAATACGTTTCAAAAATATGGGGTATTATAGTTGTGGGTACCCTTTTTAGGAAATTAATTACTAAATTACCCTGTTTAAAAAATAATAATCATAAACCTTTTAATTTGACCAAAACGATGGTACAATCAATTATAATTTATTTATTTCGCAAATAGTTCACATGGTGAATATCCCGTATTTTCTTAATTACTAACGCTAAAAACTTTGTTGCGTGATCATCAAATCTCCACCCATACTCTTATATACATCGTAATTTTTTTCCCCTTGCGTTAATTTGAGCTTTTTATTCCACATAAACTGGCAACGAAGGATAAGCTATAGTATCTAAAACTATGTATCCGTTATATATGAGTCAAATACAATTTCATCAAATAACACTCTTATAGTAATAACATGATTATGAATAAGGAATATATGAGTCAAATATAATTTCACAAATAATATTGTATAGTAACACGATTTTGAATAGGGATTTATAAGCTGTAATATAGTACTTTTGCAATACGTTATAATAGTTGTGTGTAACCCTACATGATTTAATTTCAACTCTCTTGTAGTTGATTCTAGTCCTCCAACATTTGATTTAAATCGTACAACATCATTTGATTTTGACTCTCAATATTTCAAATTTGACTGTCCAACAAATGACAACCCTTAGTATTGAAATGCCAAAGTTATGTTAATATTTAGTACTTAAAGCGGCCTTTGATTCCATTTCATTTTTTGATTAAATTGGTTTCATAATGAGAGAAATATGAAAGTAATTATTCAAAATGTACTTTACGACATCAATTGTAGAAATAAATGTAATCAAATAAGTAAATAATGAGATATAAAAAAGTAATTATTCATAAGAAATGAGATTGAATAAGAAAATATAATCAATAGAAATTAACAAATTTGTCAAATAAATAGTAATTATCAAATAAGATCACAATTAATTTTTATTTTAAAATTACAATATTCAGTCAAACATCACATAAATAACTATCTAATATTAAAACATGAGATAATAGAATAAAAAATCAAACAAAAAGTTAAAAAAAAAATAAAAAATTATTGCAGTAGTAATACCATAGTTGTTAGAATCGCGATCCGAATCGTAGGTTCGGATATTATAAATCAATTCGGATCGAAGCTAAAGTTGCAAATGAGCCAGGATCGTAGTGGGATAGTGTGGAATCGGTGGGATCGCGATCCCAATACAATCCTAAGTAAAGACTCTTAAATAGAGCCCAAAACATACAATCTTTATTTTAAGGCCCAAAATAATTACCTCAAAAGATTAAACGTTTCTCCTTTCTCTGTTTGAAGCCCTAACACTCCCTGAAACGCAGCTCTTGGTAGATCTTTGCTCGAATCAAAGCTCAAAATTGAAGCTCAAGTAGTCAAATTGCATGCTATTATCAATTATATACAAGGTAAATAATACTACTTTAATACTTCTCGATTATTTTTTTCAATAGAAATTCATGAGAATGATGAGATTTGGTGAAGTAATTTGCTGTACTTTAGTTTAATACTTTTACTTTACTTATTCAATTTTTGTATATTCGATTAATTTTGAGGCAAATTTGGTGGGTATGTTGATAAGCTCAAATGCCCAATTACATGTTGCTGAAGTTGCATTATTTCATACTCCATATTAATTTCGTGACTTTTTTTTTTTTAATTAATATTCTTAATTTAGTGACATATTATTGTTACTTTGTTAGTTTGCTTTTCTTGAAAAGTTATTTGCTTGTTGATTATTGTGTTTAGTGTTAATTAACAGAGAATTAATAAGTTATGTTCTGGCATTCTTCCTTCTTAGTTGTGAATTTTTTTATTTTTTTTTTATATATATACTTATACTCTGCTTGTTTATGCAATTACAATGAGTTTTTAAAGTCATAAGATTAATGTTCATTTGATAAAAAATTATATGGCATAAAAATGTTGATTATTCTGGATTTCCTTTTGATACTATAGTAGCTTAATTTCAGGTAAACCAAATTTAAACTATGTCAAGTTCTACAAAAAAAAAAAGGAAAAATGCTCCTGGAAATAAATTAGACCTGGGTTGAGAACATGGAACCGAGGTGGATAAAGCTGCTAAGAAAGTGCGGTGTAATTATTGTGGTATTGTGCGATCTGGTGGTATCTTCAGGATAAAACATCACATAGCTGGCACTCACTCTAATGTTGAGCAAATTAGAACTATTTTACGTCAAAATGAACTAGAAGCAGCAAAGAAGAAAAGAAAATATACTGATATTGGTGATGATGATGAGTACAATCTTGAAGTGAACCATGAAGGACAAGCTTCTTATCGAAAGGGTAAGGGACTCATGGATACTTTTGTGACTGCAAAGAGGAGTTCAATACAAACAACACTAAGCCAAAAATATAAAAGAGAAGAAAGGGAAGAAGTATGCCAACAAATAGCAAGGTTTTTTTTTTTTTATACTAGTGCCATCTCTCTTAATGCTGTAAATAATCCAGAATTTCCTTTGATGGTTGAAAAGATTGCTAAATATGGAATTGGATTGAAGCCACCAAGTTATCATGAAATTAGGGTGAAGTGTTTGAACAAGGAAGTAGCTAGTGTAATGGGTATGCTTGAGGAGTTTAAATCTGAATGGAAGAAAACAGGTTGCACTATTATGTCAGATGGATGGAGTGATACAAAAAAAAAGATCAATTTGCAATTTTTTGGTGAATAGCCCTAAAGGTACTGTTTTCTTATCTTCTGTTGACACATCAGATATCTCTAAAACTACAGATAAAGTGTTTGAAATGCTAGATGCTGTGGTAGAAAAAGTAGGGGAGGAAAATATTGTACAAGTTGTTACAGATAATGCATGCCGGAGAAATGTTAATGGAAAAAAGGACTAAATTTTTTTGGACACCTTAGTGCTGCACATTGCATTGATTTAATGCTAGAGGATTTAGATAAGAAAATCAGAGTACATAATGTAACAATTTCAAAAGGTAGGAGGATAACCACTTTCATATATTCTCGAACAATGGTGCACACTTGGCTGAAGGAGTTCACAAAAGAAAGAAAGTTAATAAGGCCTGATATTACTCGATTTGCAACATCTTACTTGACATTAAGATGTCTAAATGAGCAAAAAGGACCATTGATAGCAATGTTCACGTCTTCTAAGTGGAGAACAAGTAGGTTTGCTAAATCTGTGGAAGGAAAGAAGGTTCAACGTATAGTTTTGGATACTCGTGGGTTTTGGCATGGTGTAATAACATGCTTGAAAGATGAACCAGCCATGGGATTCATCTATGAAGCAATGGAGCAAGCCAAAATTCAAATCAAGGAAAATTTAAACAATGTGTAGAGAAAGTAAGTAATTTTGATTTAGTTTTGTTTTCTTCTTTTTATTTTACTTATAATTTCAATATTGTAGTATTTGTTTACATGTTATATTTTTTTTTTAGTTATACACCTGAGTTGGATATTGTCGTTGAGCGATGGGAGGCTCAACTCCATAGGCTACTGCATGCTGCTGGTTACTATCTGAACCCACAAATTCATTTCAAACCAAACTTCAAACCCAATGCAGACATCAAAATTGGCTTGTATATTTGTTTACAAAGAATGGTCCATGACCCCAATGAACGAGTAATGATTGATTTGTAACTTGATTCCTTTCATAATGCACGAGGTTTATTTGGATTGCCTACTACTGTGATGACCAAAGATAAAAAGTCACCAGGTTCATTCATCAACTTTTTTTTTTTTTTTTTTCCTTTTCTAGTTCTTAATGTTAATGATTTACTACTGAGTTTTATATTTTGCATTCTGGTTGTTATATATACTTGTACAGCTAATTGGTGGGATTCATATGGAGATGAATGCCCAGAATTTAAAAAATTTGCTACTCGAATTTTGAGCTTAACTTGTAGCTCCTCTGGTTGTAACAACGATCATATATGAGCAAAAGTGTTTTTTTAAACAATTATTTTTACTTAAGAAACATGTACTAGGCACAGTTAACCAATTTGGTTGCTTATTTCCTCAAATTTGTAGGATCTTATGATTCTACGATCCGATCCTACCGATTCGATCCTACCCCCTCTTATCGATCCAAAGTAGGATCCCCGATCATGAAAACTTTGATTAACACATGAAAAACCAAGAAACCGCAATAAATGAATAAATAATATATTATTTAATAAATATTTAATTTGCAATTTTTGATGAGTTTGAAGGTTTATTTAGTAATATAATGTTTAATTTATATGTGAATCTATTTATTAATTTACAAAATAATGATGATGCTATCTAGCTTAAATGGTAAGGAAAGTCTTAACAATGTTATCTTAATTATAACTTATATTTATGTCAAAATGTAATTTCAAAAATTTAAAATTTCGTGGTAACCCAATCATCGAATAAGGAAATAAGTTCTAAACGCACGATATTATATTGATTTTAACTTTCCACTGTTTAATTGTGTGTAATAAGTGATACTAATAGTTGTGTGTACATCACTGCTCTTTGATTTAAACCCTTATTGACCTATATTATTATTTATATATTTTGTCAAAAGGACGGCGTGGTGAAAAAACTTTAATCTTGTTACTAATGGTGTACATAAAAACTTCAAGATGTTTTTGGTCCCGAGTTCAAATCTATTTCCACTATTGGTGTTGGCATACTTTTCCTCATTTTATATTTAGTTGACGCGTTCAATTTAGGCACACATATTAAGGGAAGGAGAGAAAATGATAAATAATGATAAAGTAATTAAGTGGGGTACACTTAAAGGTGGGCAAAAAATCCGATCCGATTGATCCGATCCAAAAAATTGGATATTCGATCTGACTTTTTAATTTCGGATATTTCAGATCGGATATCCAAAAATTTTCGAATCGGATTCGGATCATGAATTTGAAAATTTCTGATATTCAATCCGATCCGGTTTTATAATTTTTTTTATAAAAAAAATACGGATGGTCTTACTAATTTTGTTGAACCATGAAACACTTAAAACTAAAAGAAGCCCACTAAGAATATTCACTTGTGCAGCTAACACACTCCGCCAGGTAGTCGACCCACGATACCCACAAAGTAACCTTCACCCATGATTCCCAACTCCAACCTTTTCACTCTCACCGAAACTAGACGAACCACCGGCCTCGACACCTCCTCTACATCATTAGTCATCACCGGCGCTCCGGAGCCACCCACCATTCGTGTGATATAAATCCGAGTTCATTCTTGGTTTTTTATTTTATTTATTTATTTATTTATAATATTTCTCTATAAAAGAAACTAAATCTCTTCCATTCTTTCAATAAGGAGATAGAAAGATGATAAGAGAAATGAGAGATAAAAATTGAGGGATTCTCGTGATGGACTGATGGGGGCAGTGCAAATAAAGATTGAACTTTATTTTAATTTTTTTTTAATTATATGTCTTGGTCAATTCTATCTCACCTACTCCTACTTTGATAGAATGATTGAACCAAAATGGGTGAAATAAATCGCATTTGACATTTCATCCAGATTTTAAAAACATATACTTTAGCAAAGAATTTTGGATCGGATATCCGGTGATCCGATCCGAAATTTCGGATATCCGGGTTTTTTCGGATCAGATTCGGATTGGCCTTTAGCTGATCCGAAATTTTTGAATATTCGAAATTTTGAATCAGATAGGTCAGATTGGGAATCCGAAATGGCCAGCCCTAGGTACACTAGTACATACATGTCAGCTAAAAATAAACTTTCTTAAAAGGAATACTTGTCAACTAAAAATAAACTTTCTTAAAAGGAATACATGTCAACTAAAAAAACGGAGGTAAATACAAATTATCTTTTTTTTTTCTCTACAAATACTTGACAATTTTCCTGTATCATACTTGAGAAAATACAAGTTTATAAGAATTGTTTATCAAGGGGTGTATATGTAAATTACATCTAACTTTGGTTAATAGTTGTTTTCTCTTTCCTCTTTCAACCTTTTGGTATTTTCTGATTTTCTCTCCTCCTTCAACCTTCAATTTCAATGGTGAAAAGTAACCTTTTCACTATATGACATCGAACAAGTCGAAAGCAATGGAGGGAGAAAAGCTTATCTACCTTATGGGGTTAACCATGCCCGTTATTCTCACTTAGTTATTTGGATTTTCGTTTCGCCGTCGAAAATGGTGGTCCGAAGTCGAATTTAATAGAAGAAGGAAAACTCAATTACCCTTTAGGGTTAACCATGCCATTAATTTCCCCTTTTGTTATTAGGTTTTTGTTTAATTTCGCCGGCGAAGCCGGCGGAAATAGAGTTGAACGGACTTGAAAGAGAAGGTGAAAGTGGGCAGTGATTGGAGGTAGAAGATAAGGTGGGTGAGAAGAAAAAATTATGAACAAGAGGAAGAAGATGAACATGAAGAAGAAGAAGGTGGGAGGAAGAAGATGATGAATAGTAGCAAACGGAGAGTTAACGGTGTTAACTTTTAAAATCTGTCCAACTTGTCATAGTGGCTCACGAACAGTAAAAAATATATTTTTTAATCAAAAAACACAATTTTCAATGCAACTTATTTACGAAAATGCCATTTGATAAACATAATTTGTTTATCTAGGTTATAAATTGGGGCTTACTCATCATACTTTACTATTTTACTTGTCATGTGTTTTGTCTCCTTTATTTTGGCAATGTTGATATAAACTCAATAACGAAAATTAAAAATATACTGGTAACATAATTTAAAACCACAACAACAATATTTTTAGAAAAGATGATGAATTTATGTCATTTAATTATTGTATTACTAGGTTAGGTCCCATGCCACGTACGGTTATTCTAATTACTCTACAATTTCTTTAGATAAATTAATTTATAGAATAAAAAAAAAAATTCTTAGTATCCACTGTTGGAAGCACTTAATCAAAAGAGGCAAATAATGATCTTGTGCAATAAGATAGATGAATTAGTATCCCTCTAAATTATGTTTTATGAAAAGGGGATAAAAATTCATATTCTTAATTAATTTCTACTCTCTAAAAAAAGTCCATACGAAATTAGTTGATGTAGAAGGATTGATTCATTACATTACTATTCGGTTTACAAAAATGAAGAAAAAAACATACTATATTGGACTTTTAAAAATAACAATTTGAACAAATAGTGTAGTCCATTTACTTAACTGAATTATATTTTTGATAAATTTCTCAATTTATATAGTATAGTGATTTCTAAAAAAAAATATAAATCGAAAATTTTGTAAATTGTTTATTGATATTTAATCAAGATTATATTCATACAAACTATTCCACAAAAACTACATCTTAAAAATATTACATTTATTTTCTTATTACGAACTCTGTTGTTAATTGTGTATCAACATAGGAAATTAAAGGTATTATTGACCATTTATATGGTTGAAAAATAAAAACCTTTTTTTAGATAATTTCCTTAAATAAATTATCCTAATTTATTTTTTAAAAGATAAATACTAAGGACCCACCATAATATTTTATTGTTAAGTATATAGTTATTATTTTGGGGTTTTTGGAGTCTCTCGGGAGACTTACAATTCTAAGAATGGACGTCGACCGTCTGTACCTGAAAAACCACGGAAACTCCGCTTGGGTGGAATTCCGCCTCCGACGATCAAGTTAGTATGAGTACGGGCGGAGATGAAAAGTGCGGAATGTAAAGAGTTTCTCTCGAATTCCGAGAGAGAATCTGCAATTAATATTGCTCTTGTTTTTGTGGGATTTTTTATGAAAAAAGTAATGAATGAGGATCTCTCCCTATTTATAGGGTTTGAGGATCAACTCCCTTTTCATAACATGGACTGCCACGTGTCGTCCGAGGAGAGGTTCCTGTAGAAACTCTCTGAGGCTGGCACGCGTCAGCATGCGATTGGTCCACGTGGACAGGGGTCTTTTTACCCTAAACAGTTTTCCTTCACAGGTGTGACGTGGCTTGCCACGTGGCACCTGTGACAGGTGTCATCTTCTGAGAAGGCAACAATTCGCCTCCTTCTCTCTCTTTTTTTTTTTTGAAGGTGACGGTTCGCCTTCTGAGGGATTTCCTCTATAAGTAGAAGTCCCCCCCTCATTTTCCTCACTTTTTCATTCTTGAGAAAATTTCTGAGAGAGAGAAAAGAGAGCTCTAAGACCGGCTGCTAATATTTTCGTAACCGTCTGCTTCATCTTGACTCAACCGGCTACCGTCTGGGTACCTATCATTCACAGCTCATTAAAACCGTCTTAACACTCTTTAATTGATTCCCTCTGCTTTCAATACACCCACAGCCGGTCAACCATCTAGGGTATCATCAAGCAAGGCTTTAGAGAAACGCCTGGGTTCCCCAACGATTTTTGATTGCTTTCAAGGGGGTGTATTCGGACAACTTTCTGGGTATCTAGCAAGCAACAATCTGATTTTCGGCTGCTGATTCACCTAGTTAAACTTCTCCACTTCTGAAGCTTCTTCAAGGTACCATCTCTACCCCTTGCAACTCTTTTGAGCTTTTCTGGTTGTATGCTTTGTAAAGAATAATGGACTCACCCAACACACACACGACACGACCTAGGACAGTTGTCAGCCGGGCTCCTGATATGGCTGAGTCTAGGACTGGGGATGCTGTCTGGGGGTGTTTGGACCACCCTTTCTCTTCCACGAATCCGAGCGTCTCTGTGCATGTGCAGGATAGGATGGCTCGAACGAAGCGGACGGCTGTTGACCCCGACTACAGATCAGACGGCTCCGCAGAAGCGCCGGTTGATATAGAATATTTTGACCCTCCGGGTGTACCCAGCACACCCAGTGATGATATTTTGGAGGAGTCCGATGACATAGGCGGTGATGAAACCGTCCAACAATCAGACTTTGAGGAGTCAACATCCTTAGAACCGGATGCCTTCCGGGAGGATGAGGAGGCGTACTAATGACCCTCCATTAATAACCCTACTGAAGCAAGCATGTCCGCCAGGGACAACGCTACT